ACCCATCATTACTAGATTCCCATAAAGTCTTCAAACTTCGGGGAAGAATAGGTCGCAGACAAGTAGAACTGTACTAGATTTAGGACTACAAGAAATTGATTAATGTTTCCGGTCTGCTCTTCGAGATTTTTACAAAATCCTTTCTTGAAAATTCCGTTCTATAAAATTCTTTTTTGTTGGACTCAGCCTAGCAATCTTTCTGGCCAATTAGGCTCTGGAATCCATCCAACAATGAAGCAAAGCAATCTACGAAACGACCTTAGCTTTTACGAACCTCCAGTAGCTTTGTAGCCGCTATCACTCCAGAAGATCAATCCACTGCATGGGTCCAGCGCTAAGGCATAGGTCCAGTCACCGACGGCGATCTGAAATACAGGATTCTGGCTTTGTTCTAGCAATCAATGAAACAATATCGATCATTTCACTACTAACGGTGCTCAGATGATCTCCCTGAGAATCGATCGACATCACTTTACCAGCACGTCCAGTTGTGAAGTAGACTTTTTCAGTGATCCAGTCCAGCTTCATATCAGAGATGTGCCGGATCTCAGCGGCGTGCTGAAACAAAATTTTGAAATTATTTTATCAAGTCGGAAATGGAGATCAACCTTCTGCTTCGTTGCTCCCAGGATCATTCTCGGATTTTCAGCGTTATTCATGCTGAACCAACTGATATTCACTCCGGCTGGTGATTCCGTAACATAATAGATTCTTCGCAGATTCACATCAACGTCGAACACTTGCAAGTTTTCGATTGCCGGGAATGGTTCCTGAAATCAGTCACTAATGGAATAATTGTTTTTTTTTGATTTGTCGAACATACCTTCAGCGGCTTGCTTGCTTTGATGTCAGGCTCGATGGAGGCATCGACAATGCGGTCACCATCGGCAAACATTAGGTAAGTATCAGGTTCTTCGCATGTACGGCCTTTCAGAATACCTGGAATGTGACTTTATCTACTTTAGGAATTATTCGAGCGTACGTTTTGCTATGACTCAATTTTGAAATTTTATTTGTAGGAGAAGAACTGCAAAATAGCCCTCTCGGAAAGTCCTAATCTACTTCAGCTAATGGTCTTAAGACTTTTGGTGCAAAAACTGAGAGCACATAAATTCTGAAAAAATCATATAAAACATCAGATTGGCTAAGCAGATTTTCTCTTACCATTCGTTTACCCCAAGTTTAGTCCTGTAAAATTAGCTTCACTCACCTCTAGCACATGCACAGC